GTGGTAGGCGGTCATCGATCACCCCCAGCCCACAGTGGCAACACCAGTCACGGTTGCAGCTGCTGCCTGAGAATGGAAAGTATTGCAAGTTACACTTGATTCAATTTAAGATAAGTATCATATCTATAGAAATGCAAAATGGAAATGTTCGTTTATTCAAAATCGTTAATCTCCGAATCTTTTTAATCTTTCACCGATTGCTTCGAAATTTTTACACAATGTTTCATTCGCATTCGAGCGGGTTTTTATATACGTACTATATACATGTGACGTAATTTTTTTTTTAAACTGTGTTTTTCATGTGAGAGAAATCTTCGAAACCTCTTTACCGATTGCTTTGAAATTTTGACACGATGTTGCATTCGAACAGGCGCGTGTTTTTATATACCTACTATATACATACCTTGCCTGTGACAGGAAAAAAATGCTTATTTTGAAAAACAGTGCCATCTGTTGGACGTAAGAGCAACACACGCTGTAATCTCCAGCTCAAGTCCATCGCAATGTCACACAAAATAATTAAATCAAAATGAAAATAAATCGACATCTATGATAATTCCATTTATCAATGTAATCGGAAACATTGAAATGGAATTGAAACATATTTAGTATAGCGTAAGTTGCTCTTACGTGCAACAGATGGTGCTGTTTCTTAACAAAAATTGTTTTTATCTGTCACAGGTGTGGCATCTATACTTACACTTACTAAATGAACGGTATGGTAAACAACACAGCTCAATTCCAACACAATGTCATACTAAATAATTCAATAAAAATTCAAATAAATCGAAATCTATGATTATTAAATTTATCAATGCAATCAGAAACACTGAAATGGAATTTGTAACATATTTAGTATAGCGTATGTGTTGCTATTACGTGCAACAGATGGCGCTCTTTTTGAAAAAAAAACACGTTTTTAACTGTCACAGGTGTGGCATCTATATAGTTGGTATATAAAAACACGCGCATAGTCGAATGGAACGTTGTGTCAGAATTTCAAAGCAATCGGTGTAGAACTTTGGGAGGTTTCAGCGTGTGATGCTCTTACGTCCAACAGATGGCACTGTTAAAAAAAAACATTTTTTTCCTGTCACAGGCGAGGCATGTATTTAGTAGGTATATAAAAATACGCGCCTATTTGAATGCAACGTCGTGTCAAAATTACAAAGCAATCGGTAAAGAGGTTTCGAAGATTTCTCTCTCACATGAAAAACACACGAAAAACACAGTTTAAAAAAAAAAAACATGTTTTTGCCGTCACAGACGTGACATCTATATAGTAGGTATATAAAAACCCGCTCGGATGCGAATGGAACGTTGTGTGAAAATTTCAAAGCAATCAGTAAATAACTTTTGGAGATTAACGATTATGAACAAACGAACATTTACATTTTTATTTATATAGATTGGTTTTCAATTCGTTTTTAATTGTTTTTCTTATATTTCAGTGATGGGAACATCAGATCACAGGAGTGGGGGATGGTGGGGAGGACGAGGGGACAAGGGGACAGGGGTATGGAGATTGGTGGGGGAGGACAAGGGGACAGGGAAGTGGGGGATGGTCGGAAGGACGAGGGGACGGTGGAGTGGGGAATGGTTAGGAGGACGAGGGGACGGTGGATGGTGGGGAGGACATAGGGACGGGGGAGGGAGGAAATGGTGGGGAGGACGAGGGGGGACAGGAGTGGGGAATGGTGGGGAGGACTGGGAGACAAGGGGAGGGTTGCTGAGCCACAGCAACGCGTGGCCGGGAACAGCCAGTTTTAAATAAAAATATCCAAGCTTAGCCTTACTTAAATCCTCTGGTGTATATGCCGTCAGATCAAAGCCTTAATACTGCCCCTGTGGCGAGCCAGGAACTAGTTATGGGTGTGAAGGAACACTGTGAAGAACTAGTTATGGGTGTGGAGGCCACTGTGAAGAACTAGTTATGGGGTGAATGAGCCGCTGGACAACCTGAATAATACATCGCAACTTGACGTATAATTTTCAAGAGGCCAAAAACGGTTTGGTTCGCGAGACGGAGGAGATGTCCCGTTTTCTGTTCGTGGGTAGGTTAGGTTCGCCCCATGTAACACAAGAGTTTATTGAGGACGGGCTGTGTGAGGCCGGGCTGTGTGAGGCCGGGTTGTGTGAGGACGGGCTGTGTGAGGCCAGGCTGTGTGAGGCGGGGCTGTGTGAGGCCGGGCTGTGTGAGGTCGGGTTGTGTGAGGACGGGCTGTGTGAGGCCGGGCTGTGTGAGGCCGGGCTGTGTGAGGCGGGGCTGCGTGAGGCCGGGCTGTGTGAGGCGGGGCTGCGTGAGGCCGGGCTGCGTGAGGCCGGGCTGCGTGAGGCCGGGCTGGGTGAGGCCGGGCTGCTTGAGGCCGGGCTGGGTGAGGCCGGGCTGTGTGAGGCGGGGCTGCGTGAGGCCGGGCTGTGTGAGGCGGGGCTGTGTGAGGACGGGCTGCACGCTACAGTAGCACGCGGGTGAACTCATCAGCCCCCCCCTCCCCCTACTACCTGTTGACCTTTAAATACTTACATAATAACCTTGGTTATACAAGGCCAACACACGCATCCTCCCACACCTGGTGGGCGGGGCTACACCTCCCACACCTGGTGGGCGGGGCTACACCTCCCACACCTGGTGGGCGGGGCTACACCTCCCACACCTGGTGGGTGGGCGGGGCTACACCTCCCACACCTGGTGGGCGGGGCTACACCTCCCACACCTGGTGGGTGGGCGGGGCTACACCTCCCACACCTGGTGGGCGGGGCTACACCTCCCACACCTGGTGGGTGGGCGGGGCTACACCTCCCACACCTGGTGGGCGGGCGGGGCTACACCTCCCACACCTGGCGGGCGGGGCTACACCTCCCACACCTGGCAGGCGGGTGGGGCTACACCTCCCACACCTGGCGGGCGGGTGGGGCTACACCTCCCACACCTGGCGAGCGGGGCAAGCTACACCTCCCACACCTGGCGGGCGGGGCTACACCTCCCACACCTGGCTGGTGACATACGCAAGGGCGCCCTCATCGCCACGTGTGGAACATGGATCGTCATCGCTTCAACAAGATGATTCCGGAATTGGCTGGTTTAGTACGCGCCTGAGAGCACTCGCGCACGGCATCAGAGATACTTACACAGTCATGCACACACACATACCAGTTCGCGGTGTACATGGATATATGAAAACCACTGGAACAGGTTGCAAACACGAGAGACATGATCATCACATACAAAATACTCGAGGGTGGGGGGGGGGACAGACAGGGCAGACAATGGGGACATTATTTAGCTTGCATAGCAGAGGAATAAAACAGGGACACAGATGGATATTAAATAATCACATAATTAGAAAGAATGATTTTAGTGTCAGGATATTGAACCAATAGACACCGATAGACTGTTTTAATAGATTAAGAGATGGAGGTAGGCTCCATACACAGCTCTGAATATAATGACAGAGCCCAATAGACTCCGGAACCTGTGCATCAGGCCATTAAAGGATAAGAGGGTAGAATGCAAAGCCAGTACAACAAGGCCAGTGATAGTACAGAAAGGTAGAAGGCTCTCTCCCTACTCTGTACTCTATCTGGCTCGAACTACGGACTCGGATGAAGACTAATAAATAAACTCCCAAACAAACTAACAATCTTAAATGAGTTTTAATACGATTGGTGGAATGTTGAAAACAACTTTGCTACCATTGCTGCTACTATCGTTTATAGCTACTATTACTACTATTATTACTATTACTACTACTACTATTTCTACTTCTTCTACTACTACTATTTCTACTTCTACTAACTATTATTATTTCTACTACTACTACCGTAGATAATTTATCCTTTGGTTTAGAATAACTTATCAATGCTCTGTCATAATTTTACACTGGGTGTTGTGAAGGGTCCTCAGATGTACTCACCTAGTTATATTCATCTAGTTGTGCTTGCGAAGGTTGAGCTTTGGCTCTTTGATCCCGCCTCTCAACCGTCAATCAACTGGTGTACAGGTTCCTGAGCCTACTGGGCTCTATCATATCTACACTTGAAACTGTGTATGGAGTCAGCCTCCACCACATCACTTCCTAGTGCATTCCATTTATTAACTACTCTGACACTGAAAAAATTCTTTCTAACGTCTCTGTGGCTCATGTGCGAACATGTGCTTGGGGGGGGAGGGGGAGGTTTTTATTGGCTGCTGTCGACCTTGAGTACAAATAATACAAGTAAAACAGGCTCAGCAAAACAAGAGCCACAAGACTTTTTATGTAAAGTCAACACTATGTTGACTTTACATAAAATACATATCAAGTGTTCTTTTACAAAAAATGTGAAGACGGAGAAAACCTGAATTTAATTATGTATCTTTGCATCGTGCCGAGCTGAGGAAGTCTGACTACCGCAGCCGCTCAAACGAGGCTTGTAACAGCCAGACAATTAGGGCCTGTCCTCACTATTCCTCCTCCTTCCCACGAGCACCGCTCCTGTGCCAGGCAAGTCCACTACGGGCTCACCATAGCCCGTGCTACTTGGAACCTGTTCCGAGTAGCTGAATCTATAACAACAACAACAACATCCTCGTTCCCTCTCCTCCTCTCTCTTCCTCCTCCCCCCCCCCCCTCTCCTTCCCTCTCTATCCCTTCTCCCCTCTCTCTACTATTCCAGACTTAGTGTTAAAAAGGTTAAACAATATATATTATTGCTCTATTTTATAGCTCTATTGCTTGTGCCTTATGTGGTTACAACGAGGCGGAGAAAGTCGTGAATAAAGAGGGATCTCCACTGCTCTGGGAAGTATCCATAAGTAGTATCCTGGATACTTAGTATCCATGCAGGCTTTCGTGGGAAAACCACCGCCTTTGGAGTTTTAAAGCCTGGTCATTGGACAAGGGCCAAGCATAGCTGTCATTGGCTGAGGGCGCCACAGCTCTATACTTGGTTCATCCTGATTTGTCGTCGACCTATAAGAAGGGGTGGAGCCGGGACGCTACCTTGAAGGATGCCACAACTAAAGATTTTAGTATGAATTGGGTCAAGTGCTTGAGAGGAGCGTGGTAGTGTTGGACCACGGAGGCCCCCACAGCTGCTGACGAGAGAGCAGTGGAGAAGGTGATTGTCTGTCTGAGTTCCCTGTACAATTTTGTAGTCCATTACCGTGCCTCTTAGGGACTAGGATGTTATATTAGCTTAGGGTTAATTAATTTGCATTACTAAATAAATTTACTGTTAACTGTCTCCCGAGAATTTGTATTTCCCGTAATTATTTCTGAGATATAGATCTTGAATTGCTTTGCACATTACCTGTGATCTTATGTGCATTCTTATGAGTAAATATATTCCCTCTGTAATTCACGAAGCCAATATAGAAGGAATTCCATTCCTTCTTCTTATTCTTTCTTACCCAGTAAGTAAAAGTAAGTTTAATTTAACTAAGCACTGGTGCTAATTGACTAGTCTCCTCCCGAGTCAATTAGTCTAATTATTAAAGTTCTAGGAGGAGTGGGTGGCGATATTTATTTGTTTTTAAAGGAGTAGTAATCTTGCCATCCATCCGGTCTCTATTGGTTGAAGAGATATCTTTAACATCGTGGTCATTTCTCCCACCTGATAACTGGGTGCTTTAAGCATTGTACGCTGTGAGGGCGGACACTTCTCAGTTCTTTGGGATTATACAATACAATTATTACAGCCTTAGGGTTACAAATTAATAACAACCATTACAGGAATGTTACAATGGTAGCAGCCAGGTGATAGTAGTGATTACAGTGGTGACATTAGCAATCGTTACAAGCTGACGAAATCTGGCAACAGGAGCCGCTGAAGGAGACCTGACGAAGTCTGGCAACAGGAGCCGCTGAAGGAGACCTGACGAAGTCTGGCAACAGGAGTCGCTGAAGGAGACCTGACGAAGTCTGGCAACAGGAGTCGCTGAAGGAGATCTGACAAAGTCTGGCAACAGGAGTCGCTGAAGGAGACCTGACGAAGTCTGGCAACAGGAGCCACTGAAGGAGACCTGACGAAGTCTGGCAACAGGAGTCGCTGAAGGAGACCTGACAAAGTCTGGCAACAGGAGTCGCTGAAGGAGACCTGACGAAGTCTGGCAACAGGAGCCACTGAAGGAGACCTGACGAAGTCTGGCAACAGGAGCCACTGAAGCAACACCGTAGGAGGAGCCTGCCCACAGGGACTGCACGCACCGCACCGAGGGCAGGAGGCGCAGCTCAAGGCTACTCAGTGCATTGTGCGCTCCAGCCAGTCCCAACATACACCCTCGTCCCTTCAACATACACCCCCTCATCTCCCAAACATACACCCCCTCGTCCCTTCAACATACACCCCCTCATCTCCCCAACATACACCCCCTCGTCCCTTCAACATACACCCCCCTCATCTCCCCAACATACACCCCCTCGTCCCTTCAACATACACCCCCCTCATCTCCCCAACATACACCCCCGTCACCTCTACCATCAACACCCAACCAGTTCTCTTAAGTTTCCACTTTGTACAAAAAATATTTTCTCTCCCAAGAACCGTATGAACCCAAACAACCTACCTAACCCATCGAGGCCGATAGAAGACGTTAATATTACGTTACTTTAACGCTTAATAATACGTCGTATTATGAACGGATTGGTTGGTTATAGGTGAGAGGTGAGAGAACGGGTTGCTTTATATAATTACATGTTGTCTAAAGTAGTTTGTTGTTCAATGTTCTCAGCTCCCAACACTGTGAGGGACGACTGAAGCTTACACAGCAGCGTAGGGCGCTGGTGGCTGAGTGGGACAGCACGCTGGACTCGTAATCCTAGGGGTCCGGGTTCGATCCCCGGTAATGGCAGGAACAAAATGGGCAGAGTTTTTTTTTTTTTTTTTTACCCCTGATGCTCCTGTTACCTAGCAGTAAATAGGTACCTGGGAGTTAGGTAGGTGTTACGTGCTGCTTCCTGGGTGTGTGTGTGTGTGTGTGTGTGTGTGTGTGTGTGTGTGTGTGTGTGTGTGTGTGTGTGTGTGTGTGTGTGTGTGTGTGTGTGTTTGTGTGTGTGGGGGGGGGATATTAGTTAGTAGTTAGTAACAGTTGATCGATTGACAGTTGAGAGGCAGGCCGAAAGAGCAGAGCTAAACCCCCGCAAGCACAACTAGGTAAAGACACACACACGCACGCGCGCGCACACACACACACACACACACACACACACACACACACACACACACACACACACACACACACACACACACACACACACACACACACACACACACACACCCTGGGGGTTACGTCCACTCCAATAATTGCGCATCAAGGTGTTCCTACACAGCCTCTGAGGTTGGTGGGTGCGGTCGAGGTCACTTGCTGCCGCTGTGCTGGTGTCAGCAGGGTTCATGACCACAGCTGGTGATATTGTACTTCCGTCAGCTCGGCCGAGAGTAGCACGGGCTTCCTCCTTCAGCTCGGCCGCTGGTGGCATGGAGCTTCCTTCGTCAGCTCGGCCGCTGGTGGCATGGAGCTTCCTTCGTCAGCTCGGCCGCTGGTGGCATGGAGCTTCCTTCGTCAGCTCGGCCGCTGATGGCATGGAGCTTCCTTCGTCGGCTCGGCCGCTGACGACAGGGCACTTCCCGTCAGCCCTGCTGTTCACTAATATTTCGCTCTCGCTTTAGATCCCAGCCACTTGGGTTGGACGGCAGAGCGACGGTTTCGCTTCATGCAGGTCGGCGTTCAATCCCCGGCCGTCCAAGTGGTTGGACACCATCACTTACCCCCCCGACCGTCCCATCCCAAATCCTTATCCTGACCCCCTTCCCAGTGCTTATATAGTCGAAATGACTTGCCGCTTTCCCCTGATAGTTCTCTCTAGATGAAAAACCAGTAGGCTGGTTCACAGTTGTTTGGTTGAAGGGCAAACAGGATTGGGGAATCTTTTACTAATCCCATGTGTGGTTGTCTGAGGCTTAGATCAACCTCGGCCAATCGAGGAGGGGCCTCACTTGGGCCTGGTGCCTGATTGGCTGCTTTCAAGTGGCCCTGAAGCCGGACTCGACTGATTGGTTGATGAAGATTAAGCCACCCAAGAGGTGGCACCGGTATGAATGAGGCCCTGACGGCTGAGTGGACAGCGCTCGGGGTTCGTAATCCTAAGGGTGCGGGTTCTCTCCCCGGCGGTGGCGGAAACAAATGGGCAGAGTTTCTTACACCCTGATGCGCCTGTTCACCTAGCAGTAAATAGGTACCTGGAAGATAGGCAGCTGCTACGGGTTGCTTCCTGGGGATGTGTGTGTGTGTGTGTGTGTTAGGATTATAAGGGTCTGCCCGAAATACTATGCGTGCTAGTGGCTGTTCAAATATGTAAGAACTCATTCTTACATTAAAAACAAAACAAAACAAAAAAAACTAGCCCGTAAGAAGCCGGACTCCTTCTAAGTCGTCATATGGGTAGGGAGGGTGGCCCTCCACGCCTCTCCCTCCCCTAGCATATCCCAGCCACGAGTGCGTGGTGGTGCTCGGACCAGGAAGCAACTCTCCCACAATAGTATCCTAACTTCATTGCACATCGCTCCTGGGGCTCCTCCCGCTCTTGCTTGTGACTTGCCTCGGTCCTCTCTTGCAGTTCTCGTGTCTTCACTCGAATCAATACATTTGTATCGCCTATAAACGTGAAATTAAATATTTCACTTGTTAAGTCGTTAATGTGAATTAGAAATAAGATGGAGTCTAAGGCAGACTTCTGTTCCAGATTCTGTCAAATCACTTTTATTTTCGATACTGTTTTCGATTAAGGCTTTACAGGGTTTTTAGGATTAGGATTTTAGGAATTATTAGGATTTTAGGATATACAGGATTACAGGAAGGCTTTACAGGATTATATTAAGGATTATACAGTTTTCGATTCAGGGCACGACTTCAGGCAGGGCGGTCCAGGGAGCAGGTCGGCCGAGCGGACAGCACGCGGGACTCGTGATCCTGTGGTCCTGGGTTCGATCCCTGGCGCCGGCGAGAAACAATGGGCAGAGGTTCTTTCACCCTATGCCCCTGTTATCTAGCAGTAAAATAGGTACCTGGGTGTTAGTCAGCTGTCACGGGCTGCTTCCTGGGGGTGGAGGCCTGGTCGAGGACCGGGCCGCGGGGACACTAAAAAGCCCCGAAATCATCTCAAGATAACCTCAAGATAGGGCATTCAAGGGTCCGTGCCCGCATGCTGCGCACTCCGTCCCCCCCCCCCCCCCCCCCCGGGCCGTGGTGTAGGATATCCGTCCGTGGGATATGTAAACCTGCTTCTTTCTTCCGTCATGACTTGCAATCATTTCTACCATTCCTAACCTTGTGTGTGTGACTCTGCCGAGTCACTGACTCGTTACTGTTACTGTTACTGTTACCTTGTTACTGACCTGTGTGCTCACAGTGTTCTAACTCGTGGCACAGAGCACCATGTGACGTTACTGCTACTGTTCACAGGACTCACCAGGAGACACTCAACATTTCCGGACCCGACACTTTATGGGGAAGTATCATCACTCTCACAGATTATATCTTTTTAATTTCCTGGGATGTAATGGTTTAGTGTTTACACCTAGTGTCATGCCAGGGGCCAGATTCACGAAAGCACTTACGCAAGCACTTACGAACCAGTACATCTTTTCTCCATCTTTGGCGGCTTTGTTTCCAATTATTAAGCAGTTAATGAGCTCCGAAGCACCAGGAGGCTGTTTATAACAATAACAACAGTTGAATGGGAAGTTTTCATGCTTGTAAACTGTTTAATAAATGTAACCAAAGCCGTCAAAGTTTAAGGAAAGATGTACACGTTTGTAAGTGCTTGCATAAGTGCTTTCGTGAATCTAGCCCCCTGGAGGTCGCTGAGTACTTCAGATATCCTCATCAAGTCCCTGTAGGTCGTTGGGTACATATCGCTGGTTCTACTCACATACCCTCAGATATCTTACCCAGGACCCACACGCCTGGGGCGCCGGGTTCTCCCGACATTCTCAACAGGTACCGCCCTACAGCTCAAGACAGTATACGTGGTTGCACTGAGGAAGTTGGTGCAGCCCCCAAGGTGGCCAACCATGACGGACCAGTCACCTGGCTCTCGCGGGGTTATCAGATTATTTTT